CCTCCGCCCCTCCGCGGCCCGGCTGGAGCCCGGCAGCGGGCACCTTCGCAGCGCAGCGCGGGGGCCTCCAGGGCCTTGCGGCACACGGAGCAGAACTTGCGCTTGTAGAGTCCGCGGGGGCCGAAGCAGTGGGCCACGGGGACCTGCGGGACAGGCTCAGCCGGCGCCCCGGCCAGCGACCCCAGCCAGCAGGCCCTCCCGCCAGCCCCCCCCACTCGCCCTCCAGCCGCTCTGCATCCCACCCTGGGCAAGCGCCCCACGCACCCGGACCAGGTGGGGTGCCACGCGGGCGCAGGGCGGCAGCGCCAGCTTCAGGCACTTCTCGTGGGACATGAAGTTGCAGGCTGTGGAGGAGACACAGCTCAGCAGCCCGCCACGGGGCGCCCCCGCAGCATGGTGGCTGGGGCGGCACAGGGCCTCGGGCGCCCCCTCAGCAGGCGCCCCGCCCCCTCTGGGGGCTGAGGGAGGCACAGCCACCTCCGCCACCTGCGTCCCCTGGGCGGCTGTCCTGGCTGTCCCAAGCCATGCCAGCCATCTGCCAGATCAGCGTTGCCAGCCAGGCCGCCCACGCTCCCCACCACACGCAGCGCCAGACCGGTCTGCGACGGGCCAAAACCCCAGGCAGGCAGGCTCTCTGCCCAGGACTGGCAGCCGGAACACGCCCGGCAAGGGGATGGGCGCTTGCCAGGCCCCTGAGGCCCTTGGGGCAGCAGGGGCACCCCTCTCCATCCTGGAAGTAGACAGGCCGCCGAAGGGGGCTCGGGGAAACCAGAGTTCTACAGGGACACAGGCCCAAAGCCGGACGCCATGAGAAAGCCCGGGTGCACTGGGGCACACCCGCGGGGGCTGGCCCACCAAGGGGAGGGGCTTGGCCTGGGCCACAGGCAGGGCGGAGGACCGGGCTGCGGGGCTCAGAAGCCTCTGGGTGGATGGGCAGTGTCCACGCAGCAGGGCTAACTGCCTGGCCGCTGGGCCGTGCATACCTGCCCGGCCAGTCCAAGGAGAGGCTCTTCTGGCCTTTCCACAGAGAACACCCGGAGGCAGGCGGGGGCGGGAGGAGCCCGGGGCGGGCACCTGAGCTGACACCAGCGCCCAGCTCCCCTCTCGGCCCCACCAGGTGTCCCCAGGGGGTGGGGCGACTTCCTGCACCCCCCTGGGCAGGCCTTTAGCTCCAAGCGGTGAGTCAGGACACTGCCCGGCACAGGCCTCCCCCACCGCGACTCAGCCTCCTCCCGGGGCTGCCTCCTTCCTGCTGGGGTCCTTGAGGACTTGGGACCTCTCCGGGTGGGCGCAGCACGGCCAGAGGCCCGCTCGGAGGGAGGCTGCACCCAGGAAGAGACCTGGACCTAGAGCCAGTCCCGCCAGCGCTCACCTGCTTGCGGGGAAGCCTCGCAGGCACCTGGAGCTGCTGCTCGGCCAGCAGTGTCCCCCCACCCCCGTGGGGCTCCAGCGCCCCAGGAGAGG